TATATATATATATATATATATATATATATATATATATATATATATATATATACATACACCTGTATATATATAATTCCATTTCAGAAGCATTTCTTTTCTCACCTGATGAGGTTCTGCAGGAGTTGCTTGCTGGAGTTTTTCCTTTTGATGGACTCTGCCATGGTGGTTCTGAACTCGGTCTTGGTTCTGATCTTGGTTTTGGTTTCTGTAGTCTCAGACCTTCTCCTTTCCCTCTTGCTCTGCGCTCCTGATGTAGTCAGCCTCTCCCTCTCTGGTTAGTGGCAGCTCCCTCCTCCCTACATATGTTTTTTATTGAAACATTTTGAACCCCCCCTTCTTGACACCCTCAACCCCCCAGTATCCTCCCAGAGGTCATGTGACTCTGTTGGATGTAAGATGATATCATAACAGCAGATCTGCACCAACACTGTGTAGTAACCTTGTAGTTTCAGAGAGGAGTGTCATTAGGAGACAAGTATCTATGCTTTATTATTTTCTTGATACATTCTAATTCTCTTTTACTTTGAGGATTTATTAGTGGTGTTTTTTCTTTTTCTTCTTTGTTCTTTTTGATAAAATATTTGGACATTGTGTAAAACAATTTATGTTCACATTTTCTTTTTACCAAGCAGTATCTCTGAAATATGACATTTATGTCTTTCCAACCTGCCTAAATATAGCTGTGTAACTTTACCCTTTAATAGGCCCATAATAAGTTGTATTGAACAACTGTACTTTTGTTTAATAGTGATTATTATTAGTCTGTCAGCAGTAAAGACAACAGAACTGAGTGTCAAATATAGCTAGTAAAGATGATTCATTACCGTTTTTGTAACCTCCTGATTCTGTACACCGAATGTGTAAACTGCCTTGTACTATTATCTATAATTTATGTCCCGTATTTTTCACTGTATAAATCACACCTTTGTGCATACATTAGCATGCCCTGCGACTTACAGCAAAGCGACATATATGGTAAATGGTAAATGGACTGTACTTATATAGCGCCTTTCTATCTTATTTCAAGATACTCAAAGCACTTTACACTACAATCTGTGTCCTCATTGACCCATTCATACAGCACACTGAAAGACGAAAAGATTCTACAATTTTTTATTTTTTTTTTGAATGTCCAGAGGACCAGATTTTGCTTTTTTGGATTAAACACTACCATTTTCAGCCACTAAAGGGTGGTTGAATAATATGGCAAGCAAGTGTCTCATTAATAGGTAAAAGTGGCTGAGACACTTGTCTTGCCATACCAAGCCACGTTCTTTTCGCTCTGGAACTCTTGGAGCAAACGTCAAATCAGTTGCATTTTGCCGCCCAGTCATAATGCAGTTGATATGACCATTAAAGTGCATTTATTAAGGAAAAGTTAAACTGAGACACAACTTTGTTATAATTTTGAGCAAACAAATAATTGTTTTTAAGTGTTAATCTTTTAAATTCTTGTTAAAGTCCTCCTATGAACGCTCCCGCAGCCACCATTTGGCAGCCAATCGATTTTTGGCACAACACCGGCCCACATTTCCGCGTTGTCAGCGGTGGCGTGTAACAAATGCGATGTGTCAACGGTGACACATAATAGATGTGACTTATACAGCCAAGTGACATATTTATGTTTTTGTCCACTTTATTAGACATATTTGAACTGATACAACATGTACGGTGGCAAGTACGGTAATTCTTTTGCTCACATGAAGTTTCCCTAAATTATATGCTACCAGATTAGAATGACAAAATTCAGTGAATCCACCATGTGTCATAAAAAGGAAATTCAGATGTAAAAATATTTTAGGAAAAGTTTTGCATGTGCAATAGAAAGTTACAGGTTGTAAAATTAACCTTTTGTTTCTCTATTGCTGTATGTTGAAGAGAAGAGTTTCTGTGTTCATTAAGGCTTCTAGGTTCTTCTCTGTGCAACACATGATAGATTTTTGGGACCCTGTGTACACAATTTTGTTCCACTTCATGTACCACATGTGATGTGAATGACAATAAAGATGCTTGACCTTGACCTTGATAAAGTGATGGCATAAATCAAGTTATTTCATTCTAATCAAATGTTATCCTCATTGCAGTTGTAAAAAGTAATACTTGTAGTATTATTTTGAAGCAAGAACACAGGAGCAGACTATATACTTGTACAGATCAAATTTAAAGAACATTTTCAAGATTCACAACAATTCTGATGTGAAAATGTTTAAATGTTATAATTTTACCCAGAATTATAATCAAGGTCTTATATTTTTGTTTATGTTGGAGTGGACGTGTTACCGTCATTTAAAGGCAGAAAACGTTTCATTTCTTTTATGAGGAGGATCATTACCAAAAAAAAAAAAAAAAAGACCAAGTAGTGTCTGTAGATAGATGAAGATGTGTAGTAATTTTTACTTTAAAATATTAAAATTCACATCAGTGTCACCATGTTTTATGAGTTATTCATTTTGTTCTGTTACTTGAAGATTATTATGATTGAACTAATTGTTTGAAAAAAGGGGCAGATATAATAAGATTTTTTCTTCTTTCTGCTGCCTTTCATTTTAAAGCTCTTGTATTTATTTATATTGTTATGGAATTGTTTTGTATTTTTTTAAATGAATAAACTTTGTACCATACCATACCATGTCTCTGCCATCTGTTACGCTTCTGCATAAAAAATGTTTTCATACTGATATATTCGTTTTCATAAATGTTTTTATTTAATTTTTTAATACTTTTTGCAACCTGTAGTTGAAGCTCGAGGACTAATCTGGTAATTGTTCTGCAAGTTATGAATAAAATATAAGAACTCAGAATTGGAGCAGCTGCTGGAGGTGAGCAGCTGCTCTGAGTCGCACCACTGATGACCCTCTGGGTGTTTTCAGTTCAGTTTAATTCAGTTTATTTACATAGTGTCAAGTCACAGCACAAGTCGTCTCAGGGCACGGAACAGAAACATTCACATAAAAATAATAAGTTAACATTATTTATCTGACTGCTTTGAAATCTCATCTTGAGCAAGCATGAAGGCGACAGTGGAAAGGAAAAACTCCCTCATGAGGAAGAAACCTTTAGCAGAACCAGGATCAGGACAAGCGACCATCTGCTTCGACCAGCTGGGTTTGAGAGAAATAGATACACAATGGCAGGTCAAGAATCACATGTTAAGATAGAAATAGTATCAAATGAAAACTATTAATTTTAACAATTAATTTAAGGAAATTAGGTCAATTTGTCCTCTAGTAGCCTAAGCCTATAGCAGCATAACAAGCCAAACCTAACTATAGGATTTCTCAAAAAGAAAAATCTTAAGCCTAGTTTTAAAACTGGATAATGTGTCCGTCTTACAGACAGAAACTGGAAGTTGGTTCCACTAGAGAGGAGCCTGATAACTGAAAGATCTGCCTCCCATTCTTTTCCTGGAAACTCTAGGGACCGCAAGTAAACCTGCAGTCTGATAGCCAAGTGCTCTGTTAGAAAAATATAGAACAATAAGATCTGCAATATAAGATGGAGCTAGGTTGTTGAGAGCTTTGTAGGTTAGAAGTAAGATTTTGAATTCTATTCTGGATTTGACAGGGAGCCAGTGGAGAGAAGCTAAAACTGGAGAGATATGATCTCTCCCAATGACTCCAGTTACAACTGGCAGCAGCATTTTGGATCAACTGAAGACTTTTTAAAGAAGTATTTTGACACCCAGATAATAAACCATTGCAATAGTCCAGTCTAGACGTGACAAATGCATGAACCAGTTTTTCTGCATCATTTTTAGATAATCCATCCATTATCTTTTACCCGCTTCTTCCATTTTGGGTCATGCGGGTCGCCGGTGCTCATGTCCAGCAATCACTGTGCGAGGGGCGGGGTACACCCTGGACAGGTCGCAAGTCCATCACAGGGCATTTTTAGATAAGATGTTTCTAATTTTAGTGATATTACTCAGGTGGAAGAAGGCAGTTCTTGTAATATTTTTAATGTGGGGGATAAAAGACATGTCCTGATCAAAAATAACACCAAGATTGAGCTGGAGGCCAGAATAATTTTGAGATTAATCTGTCTTTTTTTATTCATTTATCTGATTTTTTTGATGCTCAGTTCAGCCGTGCAGCTCTCTCCTCCATCATGCACAGACACGAGTGAAACTGTTCTCAGTCTAAAGTCTTTGTGTTGATCAGTGAAGCACACACAGATGTGCATTAGGTCACCCCAGCAGTTCCAGCCAACACTGATTTACACACACACATTCCTGCCCCACCCCCCAAATCCTGCAGGAGCTTGAAACACTTGCAAACAGTCCACAGAACGGTTGTTAGGGCAACACTCCCACAGACCTTCAACAAAGTCTGACTGTTGCAACAGCTCGTCGGGAGGCTGCTGAGAAGATTTTACAATTTTAACATGTTCACCAGAGAAGCTGTTTAGATACAGAAAGCAAAAGAAAAAAAAGAATCCCCAATGAAACCTAATAACAAACACTGATTTTCATTGATTCCGTTTCCTTTTTTTACAGTCCCATTTACTTTAATGTTGTACTCGGTGTGGGATGAAGAGCTCATGAAGCTCAGCTTTACTTCTTGGCCTTCTTGGCTGCAGGTTTTTTGGCGCCAGTTTTCTTGATTGCAGACTTCCTGGCAGCCTTTGGCTTCTTAGGAGCGACTTTCTTGGGGCTTTTGGTCACCTTCTTGACTGACTTCTTGGCCGGTTTGGTGGCTGCAGGCTCCTTCTTGGTGAGCTTGAAGGATCCTGGGGCCCCAGTGCCTTTAGGGTGCATTCACACCAGCTTTGTTGTCCCAAACTCTAGCCCGTTTGCCTAGGAAGTCCGGTTCATTTGGGGAGGATTGAACGCCCCATCGAACTCTGGCATGGAACAAAAAGGCAAACTCTGGCCCGTCTAAAAACCTAGGTCTCGGTCCGGTAGAAGAGAACTCTAGTGCGGTTCGAGTACAGTGTGAATGTAAGCAGACCGGGCACCGCTCCGCAAGCATGGAGTACAGCGCAGGGAAAACAAACACGCATTTCTCTTACCTCATATGGAGCCGTCAGCTGTCTTGTGTGAAAAACAACATTCTCCATGGTCTTCTGCCTCATCTTCCACTCATGCTGAGTCCATTGTGAAAAATGACAAAATATAACTCCTAAAACCACTAAAATTTGACACCACTCCGTTTTTGTTTTTATTTCCAGAAGAAGAAGAAGAAGAAGAAGTGTATTCAGAGGTTTTTGTGTCGTTTCTTTCAGTAGTTCTTGGTGCAGCACCACCACAGGCGAGTGGGGGAACAGGTTGGTTCAACA